CCTCCAGCAGGAAGGAGAAGGGCAAATAACTGGAAACTGGACAAACAGAAGCCCCAAACCCTCTTTCAACAGTAATGAAAATATACATTATATTAAAGTGAAAATGCTACCACTATGTAGCCTTTAAGTATCTAATCCACAGACAGCTTTGCTTCTTCTCACACTAGTATTCATAAATTCCAACAACTTTATTTTCAATTTGCTTTGGGTCACAGCATTAATGTGCATTATGTGCATCTACTTAATTTATCTGTTTATTATTTTCTCTCAGCTTAAGAGTTGTATTTTTAAAAAAATTCATCATGGCATTTATGTTTAATTATTCACATCCCATTATATTTCATCCACATTTCAGCTACAGGAAGGAATAAAAGAATTGTTATAATATATGCATGACTGCAAGTTATTATAAAGTGCTGCTTTCCAGAATGGCTTAGTGAATTGATACAGATTGCATCAAAGAGGGTTATATATATATATGTATGTATGTATATATATATCTTGGTCAAAGAAATAGAAAATGCAAATGGGGAAGCATCATGGTACTGTCTGGCTTATCCTATTAAAGTCACTAAGGAAATTCTAAGTCCCCTTAACAGGACGTRAAGTAGATCTCCGAAAAATGACTAAAAATATATATATAATACTTTTTAGGTATCCAAGGCTCTTGGGAATCCAGCCTTAAATGACTAAGCCTCTCTCAAAATGAAATACAGGCACCCAGGTTATTTAGATGACACCTTTGAAAATTCCACACTAAATGAATTCTTAAGATCATACAGCCAACCTATAATAACGAGCCAGATATCAAAGCGAGGTGCAGAGCCTTAACGAAGTACCTACTCAAATTCAGGCCATGTTTCTGCAGTAAGCACTCAGGTGGATTATTAGAAATGGGTGATCTTTAATCTCTCCCACCTCCTTGAGAAAACTGACATTTAAAAAATGTTATTAACTACAATCACAGATGCGGGGGAAAACTGTTCCCTTCTACAAAGGCAGCAGTTCTGCTTCTCCCTGAGAAGTGACATTTTCAGATGTTTTGACCGTCAAACGGAGCACATTTCATTGAACTGGACAGTCCTTTCCAAGCTCTGCAGGCTTTTGACTCATGCAGCATTTCAGGGATTTACATCTGTATTTTAAACCTCTGCTAAGCATAAGCTTCCTAAAGAAAGGATTTTTTTTAATTGTTTCACAGTTTGATATATTCAGACCTGAAGCAGAGCTGCCTGCGAGCTGCCTGCCCTGACTCACAATGAGTCCCTAGATTCCCTTGGAGTCTCAAAGGCTTCATGACTGTTCTACGGAAGTTGAGGGTGCCCCAAATTTTGCTAAAACTTTGCTGCCCATATAATAGTCCTGATCTAGACCTAGCGTGTTGATAATCTTCCCTCCAGCCCAAATTTTATTCCATGTTTATTCTAGGGCTCTTCACCCTGGCATCCTGGTAATCCTTTGCTAATGCAAACTCTTTTCATGAGGTCTCAGAACTATAGGATGACTGGAAATGCTGGATTCACACATTCCTGGCCATAGCAGTTAAATGTATCCGGTTACTACTTTGGAGAAAGCAGAACAAATCTAAAAAGAGAAGAAAATATTGTCATAAGAAAGTTTCATCTTCTTATTCAGATTGTGGTCAATGAATCCTTAGCTAAAAGAACATGAGTTCCTATGGGGAAAAAAAATTGAACTCCTTCACCACAAGAGAAACTAATTTTCTCTGTTTTATCATCTAATTTGACCTCCTGAATAAAAAGACATAGAAATTTCCAGGAGCAAATCCTGTTTCAGATATTTAATCTAAGCTTGAAAGAAACTGTGTTTAAAATATATTTATATATCCAATTATCATTTTAAAAATTTCAGTGATGGGATAATAATAATCCTTGGAAATTTATTCCAAAGATTAATCGTCACTACTCTTAAGAACATGCACCTCATTTCTAGATTGTGATTGTGTATCTTCACTTTCAAGTCACCGAATTTTCTTATCCTTTTCTGTTAGCCTTGATGACTCTGTATCAAAAAAACACTGGTTTCCCATGAAATTAGTTATGGATTATGATTAAGCCACACTTTGAACTCCTCCAGTTAAAGGAGGCTTTAAACTCCTCCAGAATTACTTCAAAACTTCCCTACAAAAGAACACTTCTGACATTTTGTAAATCATGTAAAATCAGCAGGAAATCAGCAAGGAAGCTATGTCCTTACTGCCAATAAGGACCTGCATCAACAGACTATTTCCCAACAATTTTGGAATTCTTTGCTGAGAAAAATAGCACATGTGTAACAGCACCAAAAAAGGCTGCTACATGAGCACTTGAATCTTTCATATTTTCCAGCAAAGGTATATCAAAAACCTAAATAATAGGTCCAGTTGTTAATGGTTTATATAATGCTCTGGAAGACTTGCAACTGACTCTGCAACTGAAAATAAAACATAGATTTCATCAAAAATTATATATGGAATTTCATTTTGGGGACCCAAGATCCACTGATCATCTATTGGACAAGTATTCCAGAACATTGTAATTGAAAACAGAAGATTCTATAAAATATTTTACAGCAATAAATGAAGTTTAAATGGCCACTATAATACATATGAAAAGATAACTATCTAAACCTTATCTGAACTACAGTTATTCTCTAAATTTCAAAAGTGTCTTTCAAAATCTTGTTGCTTACTGACTCCTGTCAAGCATTAAAATTGCCTGTTTGATTCCATAAACATTTTTATGAGATCATTGTTGCATACTGCTGATTTGAAGTGTGTTTTGTGTGGGTAAGATACATGCAATTTCAATTAAACTTAATTAAAAATATTATTTGCTTGTACGCCGTTCTGCAAAACAAAAAACCTCATTCCGTTTATCACATAAGACAGATGTAGTTTGTAACCTTCAGAGAATAGATTGTGTTTTAAAATTAATGAAAAACTGAGTCTTTTGATTACTTTTCCATTTACTTTATTGTGATACACTAAAGCTGGCTGGACTAAGAAACAGACATCTTTGATGGATTTCTGCAAGATCTAAAAGTATGTATCACTGCATCACTGATATAGTAATTAGTTGTGAAGTAAAACCACACGATACGTTCTGAGAATTATAAGGATTTTCAATTTTATGTTCCCCTCAAAAGATTTCTGAGTATTTGAACCAATCTTTTTTATTCATGCTAAATGAATGTCACTGTGTAATCCAGCAAGCATCATACCATCAAAACAACTGACCATCAAAAATACTTTTTAACTGCTCTGCAGGGATTATCAGGACAGAAGATGATGTTGCCTATGTAAAAGTAGAATTTTGTAAAATCTTGTAACTTTTTTTTTTGTACTGCATTGTATTGGGCCAGAAAGTGTTGGTTCCTTGTGAAAAAAGAAAGTCTGCTTGCTCACTACAGATGGAATTCAAACATAGCCACAGGCAAAGAACAAAATTTACTTTACAGATAGACCTTTCKACAAATTACAGATCAGACTTTTGTTTCTAAGTAGTATTTTAATTTAGTGTTTAAGGTGAATTTAATCATTTAAGAACAAGTCTTGGCTCTAAGAAAATAATAAAGTGACTTTAAATACATGCGTTCTTCGATTTTCTTCATATACATGRAAACAACTTAAGTGATTTCTCTATAAAAGGGATGCTTTAAGACTTAGTAATACTCTTTGTCCTCTCCTTTCCAATTTGTTATTACCKCACCTATTTAGATATTAAAATGCTCTTGGAAAGCAAAAAGTTTTTTTTTTTCCTAAGAGCTGAGACTTATTTTCCAAGGCTTATGGACCTCTTTAGGAGCTTTATTTCTACTTCAGGAGAAAGAACCAGCATTATTGGTTGAGTCAG